TTCACTTAGCAGTTTATAATTACAGGTTGCATAGAGGCTCCATGTCCAAAGGGATGTGTGGAGATTTGAGGCCAGGGATAAAGGTAGAGAATGTGGGGAAGGACTTCTGCTCTCAGCTGGCCTTATCTGCTAATGTTTGCTAGCATCTAGCACGAAGTGAAACGGCACAGAATGAGTGCCTCGCCAGAGTGCAAAGAGATAGGTATTAAGAAGACTTAGGGGTGGTGAGGACAAAGTAAATAAGGGTGGGAAGTCAGACATGAAGGTAAAATGAACATGAACGTCCAGAAGCAGGACCCTGTCTGTCTTGTTAAGATCCAGAACGGTGCACAACCTAGTGTTTTTTCCAATGCACATAAACATTCACAAAAATCAACGTTTTGTTAGGTCACAGGGGAAACCGCAACAAATTCTCAGCAGACTTCACATAAGACATATTCATTGTTCATGATGCATGTTAAAAACGAGCAACACAAATCAAAACCCAAACCAAACCAAAACAAAAGCAAAACGTTATCCATTTCTCTAATTTGCTCTTAATTTGACGAAAAAGAGAATTAAACTGAAATGATAAGCTACTTTGAAAAATTTGACAACAGGAACATTCATATCCAAGCCTGTGGGATGCAATCAAAACTGCATTAAGGGAAAATTCATTAGAGATTTTAGAAATGTGTGTGTGTGTATGTGACACGTTTATATATACTGGAATATACGGAAAGATATATGAAAATAAGAAAGCAAAAGGAAGGCAGCAATAAATATAAGAGCAGAAATTAATGACTATGAGACACCCCCGCTTCCCGCCACCTTCCTAGAATTAAAGAATAAAACTGAAAGCTGGTTCTTTGACACTCCTGGGAAGATTATAAAATGGATACATCCAAGCAAGGAAAGAATGAGAGAGGGATCAAAGGGTGGGGGGAGTGTTTATGTGAATGAAAGCAAGAAAGAAAACAAATGTTAGCATTATAAACAGAAAAGGTAAACAACATCAATGCAGAGGAAATTAAAAAAGAACTTGATGAGAATATTAGGTACAATATTATACCAGCAGATAAATGATGGATTATTTAATAATAACTTGATGATGCCACATGCTCTGGTGCATGCCTGTAATCTCAAAAGCTCAGGAGGCTGAGGGAGGAGGATCTGCAAGTTCAAGTTCAGCCTTAGTAACTTAGTGAGAGCTGGTCTCAAAAAAATAAAAAGGGTTGAGGATATGGACCAGGGGTTGAGCACCCCTGGGTTTAATTCTTACCGCTACTACTATTCCTATTACTAATCTGGTGACAAGTGATCAATTTAATCAAAAAGTCTAGCTCTGACCTCATAATAAGAAAAGTAAAATACAGATTGACCAAAGAGTTAACTGGAAATAATAAAAAACTACAAAGCATTTGGAAAAGAATAGAAAGACATAAGATCAAGGAACTAAGGTCTTCTTAAGGCACGAAATACAAAGATAATAAAGGAAACAACTGACAGATTATTATTAAGAAAAAATTTTGTAGGTAAAATAACGTTAAGGCAAAAGTGACAAAGGAGAGAATATTTTCATATGTAACCATCACAGAACTAGAATTTGTAATATGATTTGGAAATAAAACTAATTCCTAAAGTCAATAAGAAAAAGATAAAGAGTACAATAAAATAACGTGAAAAAATATAAACGTGCCTTCAGACAAGAAAAATGCAAATAGCCAAACATAGGAAAAAACTGATTGGTCTTGGTAGTAATTATGAACCTACTAACTAAAAAGAACTTTTTCTAACACAAAATTGGCAAAAACCGAACAGACCGACAATGATATCGTTGACAACATGCGAGAACACACTGGTGCAGCGATGACTATGTAAATTGCTGAGGTCTCGGGAGCTCAGTTGGCAAGTCTATTTTAAAATTAAAGATCCACACACGCCACCAGTCAGCAATTTTACTTTTCGCATAAAAAGATGTGTGCAATGACAATCTCTGTAGTATGTTCCTAACAAGGACACCTTGGAAAGCCTTTAAATACCCATCATTGTGGAAAGTTATTGTAATTAAAGTAGAGTCGTTTTTTGTGGTGAGCCAAGGGGTCCTGAGTGGGGCCCTGGAAGTGCCTGAGCCAGCAGGTGATTATCACCAGCAAGGCTTAGCATTGTCCCGACAGGACATGATGTGGTGATGAAAAGCAGAGGGACTGTCAGGACTTCCTATTGTTTTAAAATTTTTTTACAGATAATACACCCCTTAGGACTGCTCTCTAGATGAGCAGCTCCCACACTCACACCCCTACCCCTGACATACCACCTCCATGTAATCTTTTGCACATAGAATGTGTGGATCCCTGTGTGCTGACTGACACCTCTACTGCTTGGCTGTCAAGAGACAGGAGTGGAAGAATATGGACAGCATGATGCCGATTTTGCTACGACACAGATACATTTCTCAATTGTGTTTCTATATGTACTATACGGATACGGATACATGGAGATGGATTGACACCAAATACACCTGTAATTACTTTGGGGAAGATTACAGGGGTTTAGAGTTGTGATCAAAGGGAACTTCGTCTGTACACTTTAATATTTTTTACATGGTAGAATATTCATTTTATATTATGTTAATTTATTTATATGATTAAAAAGCAACAATTTACATATTTTATTGATTTGGAGAAGACACCTGCCCCCCTCCCCCACCCCTTTAGTAAACTAAATTGAAGGGAGGACGCAAAGGGCCAGGGTTTTGATGCCTCTGATAGCGCCACACTAGCTCCACCTAGTGTGGATAAAAGGACATTGCTACTCGCTCAGGGTCACTCCCAGGGAAGGAGTGGCCCGGGTGCCTTTTGGCTGGCGTGAGCCTTCTCCCTATTTATACCTTGCAAAAGATTAACATTAGAACATAATTTAAAAGCCATTATGTCATAAATAGAAGGCTTCAGGCACCTGATTGTGGTAGTGATGAGGCATTTTATATCCTTACATGAATCATGTGGTTGACCCTCAGGAACATCCCTTGAGGCAAGTCACTCAAAGTCTCTGCACGAAAGTCTCTACTTGAACTAGATAACAATGATTGACAGCAGTTAGACTGAATTTTTTGTTGCTTCACTCTATGGTCATAACAATCCCATAAGGCAGATTTTTAATAATCTTATGTTATAAGGAGGAGAAAATAAGAGCTTGGACCAAATAAGATACTGTTTTACAGGCAATATATTAGCAGGTGGAAGTGATGCTAGATTCTGTGTTCTGAGGCCTTTCATGGAGGGGCTCAGGATCGGATCTGGCTGATGGATTCATAGAAGGTCTTACAGCAAACACTGGTAAAGATCCAGCCTGAATCCCATGGCCTGCAGCCTTGAAGGACAGTTTCTGGCCCACTGATATCTTCCAAAGTCAAGCTTTCACATCTCTCTTCTTCACCTGAGGAATTTCTCAGGTCCCAACCGCACAAATCTGGCTATGTACAGAGTTAATGCCCACCCTGGGTGAGGACAACCCTCTACCAATGGAGGATGGGAGATGTGGATCAATGCCTCCTGTCCTCCATTTGGAAAATTCTGAGCTGTGTCCTATGTGGTTTCCTAGAGAGCCTCTGGTAGGACTGCCCAGCTGCCTTTAGCCCACCTTAATTGACATTTCTCACTTCCCTGTGTCACACCTGGGCTTCTGGGATCCAATTCCTTGACTCAAGTTTGATTCTGGTGGTACCAAAACTAAGAGTGCACTGTTGCTAGGTACTGTGGGAGTCATGATGACATTCAGGAAGTGGATGTGGATTCTCCGGAGCATGAAGTCAAGCTGATAGTGATTTGATCAATGACTCTGTGCCCACAGGGGCATGGCAATATAATTAGATTTCTCATAAGACTTCCAGTTTCAAATATGACAATTCATTGCTTCTATGAGATTATTTAAACTTTCTGGGCCACGTGTGTCCCTTTTGAGTTTGGAAACCACTGCTATGAGGAGGCCATAGTGGGCTCCATGAGGTCTGGTGGTGGGTCTGCAGTGATGTTCAGCAGGACTTCCCCTGAAGAGGCAAAGGCACAGGTGCAGCAAAAACAAGGGTGTAGAGCTAAGAATGAGCAGCGCTTTTAGGAATATGAGATCAACCCAGATAGGGAATCCATGGCCCGAGATTGCAAGAAAAACTATGTGCGTGCATGTGCGCATGTGTGCGCATGTGGCTGTGTGTGTGTGTGTGTGTGTATGGGTACATTTTTCTAGGGATAGAGTTCAAAGCTTTAATTGCATGTTCCAAGTGGGCTCAGAAACTACACCACATGATCAGAGCCACCAAGGATCCTGAGAGGGCTGTGAGGTAGACTAAGAATCCCAGAATGTTAGCACATCACAGAAGGTTAGCAATTGCAGAATGTTCAGTATGATAACGGCACCTTGAGTTATCATACTGAAACAGCATTTACTGAGTCCCTGTGCCATGTCTGGGACAGATCTGAGCTCTTTATAAACATTCGCTTGTCCCAACCTTCCTCTGAGCCATCTCCATTTTACAGTTGTGGCAACTGAGGACTTGAGAGATGCCTTGCCCAAGGTCAGACAGTTGGATTCGAACCCAGGCAGCCTGACTCTAGAAACCTCACCCTCAACTCTACATCACTGGCCTTCAAACTTTAGCACCCAGTAGAATCTCCAGGAGAGTTTGCCAGGACAGATGATCTAGCATGTTCTGGGTGGGGCCTGGGAAGCTGCAGGGTTAAGAAGTTCCCAAGTGCGCTAATGCTGCTGGTGTGGGGAGCACACTTTGAAAACCACACTTTGAATTCTAAGCTACTGTCTCCAAAGAAGAGGACATGGAGCATTGAGGTGACCTGGCATGAGTCACTCAGCTACTTAGCGGTAAAACCACGATGACAATCTGCTTCTGTGGATTCCAGAGCCAGGACTCTTGAGGCCACTTAGCTGGGAGGAGCGCATATTCTACTTCAGAAGTGTGTGCACCTGAATTTTCACACTGAGACCACAGGGGTGCAGTCTGTTACCTGGGGATGGGCACTGGTGGAAGATGGTTCCTTGTTTGGCTCCTCTGAGCCCACGCGGGCCCTTCTCCACCGCCTGGCCCGCCGGTCTACAGTGTGTGGGGCCTCCTCTGGCTCGCTGCTATCTGAGGTCTCTCCACTGGCCACCTGGGGGTTGAAGTTCACGTCCAGCTCTCCCTGTAGACGCATCTTCTCTGCTGCGGGGTTCTTGGGGACCTTCCTCTGCATCCAGGACAGTCTGGTCCTGTGCCCAGCATCCCGGGAAGAGCCTGCTGAGGAGGTCTCTGAGTCAGAGCACATAGCCTCAGGGTTGGGGGAGAGCCCAGATAAGGAGATGGCTGAGGGGCCTTGGTCAGCGCCCTGGGCCTGTGCAGGCTGTGCCTGGGGGTGCCGGGGCAGACCCTGGGACTGCGGACATAGCTTGCTTAAAACCTCACTCCAGTCAAAGTCCTCCTCGCTTTCGGAGCCCATCTCATCATAGGCAGATGCCACACTGGAAGCCACCTCCAGGGCCTGGAACGTCCCACTCTTAGGTTTGGCCAGCAGGCGGGTTGGGGGCGGAGCACCGTCCTTCAGAGCCACCCAGTTCCCATCGGGGCTCTGCAACACTGGAACCGGACCTGTGAGAGGACAGGAGAAAGAAACCAGAGAGTGGTTACCATTAGAGAGCAAGGTGAGGCTGTCACTTGTCACCTCCCCATGACGGGCTCCTGGGGGGTGTTAGGGAGCAACAGCCTTTAGGAAGACCCACAGGTCATACTTCACTGGGGAAGAAGTTTAAGAATCCTTAGGAATTCTCTTGAGGCCTCACAGCTGGAGAGAAGCTTGGAGATATAGCTCTACCTGAGTCGATGGCCACCTCAGTCTCCTAAGAATCACCCTGCTCCTGCCCTGGGCTGGCAGGAAGGGATGCAGTTGGCTCTTTGACCTTGGGTCATGGTTTTGTCTCTTAGATCCTTGGCTTCCCCCCACCAATGGGAAATTATTCCACCACTTGTTCTGATTGACCTCACAGCTAAAGATGTTTTCCCTTGGGACACAGATTTCACTCAGCAGCCCATGAGATGGACATGGAAGTCTACTGTGAAGTCAAGGCACAGGCCTCCTTCTGAAAAGGACTTGAGGCCAAGGAGGTTGGTATTTCCAATTCCGTCTTACAGAGGAGGAAAGGACGATAAGCAAAGTAACTGGTTAAAGGTCCCAGAGAGCAACTGGTAGAGCTGGTTCAACATGCATCCTTCACCTGGCTCCAGGCAGCTCTAGGTTATCGGCTGTGCAATGGAAGCTCTTGACTGGCTGAATAGCTCGGGGCAAGGGTAGACTGCGGCCATGGGCTGGGTTGGTCTGAACTGAATTCAGGTCATCTGGGATAACTGGTACCTGGCCCAAGGGCTGGTCTCTTTGAGGGAGTAAAAGTTGCTTTGTCTTATTTTTGTTGAAGGCATATAGGAAAGCATTATCTGCCCACGTCCCTGGAGTAAGATGACAGGTGCTTTTTTAGTGGGAGGTGGCTTTGGCACAGTAACTGCCAATAGAAGCTGTTTTAAAATGAGGGACTTCGCAGGTTGCTGGGGATGGGTGAAAAGGGCCTCAGGGGTTTGAAAAGGGGCCATTCCCCAAATTGTGTGTGGACTCCATCTTCTAGGCTAGAGGCCTTTGGGGCCATAGCTCTCTGCTGTAGGACCTTGAGTCAAGGACATACCTTGTGCTACTTAAAGAATATGGATTTTTCTACCAATTAAACCGTCACTGCTCCATATAATGGAAACGAACTAGTGTTTGTGGTGTTGTCCAAAGAGCATTGTCCTTGCTAGGCCCACTTTAGAACCAAGCCTTAGGAGAATTGGGATGTCGGTGGGACATGTGTTTCCACTTCAACTGCCTGCCTGCAGCTCAGGCTGGAAAGACATCAAGATCCCCTCTCTTCCTTTGAAAGTCAGAAAATGGGGCTTTCTCTTGTCCAGGAGGGCAGTGAGCCCCAGTAGCTGGCTGATGTAAGCAGGGGCTCCTGGAAGACTGAAGCCAAGTGGCACCCTTTCTCCTGCCTCCTCCGCCTTCATTATCTGTCTCTGCAACAACACAGGGCGAAACCCCAGGGGCACAGCCCCTATTCCAGGAGCGCGTCTGATCTCCCTGCCCAGGTGTAGCCTGCCGATCTTGTAACATGGAAAGCCACCCTCCAGGTGACAAGTCCTCTGAGGTAAGGTCTGCCTCTCAGCCACCTCCTTATCCTAGAAGCAAATTAGCCTTCTCTGTCCCAGAGCAGGTTTATGCAGCAGAAAGGACAGAAGTCTCCAAGTCAGAGGGCTTGAGCAGTCTCTGAGCTTGAGCCCCTTCGCTGATGAAAAGGAATAGCTAACGTCCCACTGAATTGTTAGGAAGATGACATGGGAGGATGCTACCCACACCTGCTCAGGGCAGATTAATTCCTGATAGCTCTTCCCCCCCCCCCCCGTCTTCATAAATGAATGAAGCTGCTTTTGTGCAGGGCAAAGAATAAGAACTATGGATTCAGGCAGATGCAGGGCTGATCCCCTGTGACTGAATTTACTCAAGAGACCTGGGTCAGAGAGCCTCGGAGCCTGTTTCCTGGCCTGCCAGTGTGATCCTCCCTGGCTGCTGCTGGATTATTATGAGAGGTAATTCATCCATTAGAGCATCTGCCACACCGAGGGCTCTCAGATATTTTTATCTTTAATCTGTTTAATTGCATCATAGTATTAGTATTCAAAACCTGACTCACCACTCATATCTCCCATCTGTATCTACATAAAGCAAGTAAGAGCGGCCACAATTCAGTATTAAGTATTAATGTGTATTATGTATTAATATGTATCCATTGACTATGTAAGTATTTGACAGAGTGGTTAATGAGGGTTATTATTACCACCTAGAGTTTATGGGTGGGAGTTTCTATCTTGCAGGCATTCTTCCAGGGTTGTGTCTGGAGGCAGCTGAGTTACTCAGGCCACTCAGGCTCTCAGGGAAGCTGGTGATAGCCAGTAAGGAGCCACATAGCTTTTCCCTGTGGGGGCCCTGCCTCAAGCCTTAGCCCTCATCCCTTCAGCCCACACCTAGTGGGCTTCCAACTTCCACCACTTGCAATTCTTTGCTTGAGTTTTTGATCTGGGTGCCAGGGTGTATATTGCTCTCAAAGGCAGGGTGAAGTGCCTGGAAATCACCTTGTCCCAAGAGCAGCCCTCAGTTAGTGGTTGGGGAGGCTCCTGGCTAAGTTCCCAGCTCTCTCGCCTGCCAGGCAGGTGGGTCTTCTACATGGACTCCCAGATTCCCCCGTGGGGACAAGCTCCAGTCACCCACAGTGGTAACCTGCTTGGTAAGAGTCATTTGCTGCTTCCCTTTCCTTACTTGTTTCGTGTCCCCACTCCTTTCTCTTTGAGTTTTCTGGGCTCATGTCCCAAATAAGCCACATGACCTCAGATCCTCATGTTAGACTGTTGCTAGTGGAAGTCAAAGACACCTAGAAGATGCCAAGTAGACTGGGCCCACTCTCTGGAGAAAGGAAAGGCCCTCTGGGCTTTCGAATTAGTCACCATGTCTGTTCTCTGGACATTTGCTGAAACTTGATTCAAACGTCACTCATCAGTGGCATATGCTTGGCCTGTCTTCCTTGAGGATCTGGGTCTTGGCTTCTGAGTTCTGACAAAAAGCTTTAGTTCTTTCACACTTAACACTGTGCCGTGGTTTATTTTCTTGGTTGTTCACTCTAGTCCCAACCCTGACTGTGAACTCTTGGAGGACAGGGTCCTTCTGACTTCTCTACTGCTGTGCTTTCAACTGCTGCCCGGCTTTGGGCCCCATCCTGGGTACCTAAAGACCATTTATTAATGAACACAGGCACCAACAGGCTTCTGGGCAAGAGTGGGCTTTTGATTTTCAGCTCTCAATGAGCCCTGCTCTCTACAGATTCTCCTGGGCCATGTGAGGAAGCTGAGAGGAAATCCCCTGATAGTGCCACTCCGTGCCTGGCTCCAGGGTTGGCCATGTTGTAAATGTGGTCCTTGGACTCCAACGTCCAGTACTTAGTGGGACGAGATTCAGCTCATTGCCAGCTCTTCACTTTCTCCTGATTTTATAATCCTGTTTCCAAGGTGCTTCCGGAGAAGTTAAGAATTGACTGACTTTCATCTCCAGTGAAAAACCCATCCTTAGTAAAAATAGATGTCTCCCTGTCTGCCTATTGATGCTCTCCATTCCTAGGAGAAACTTTGCTGAGCACCCCCAGAGCTGCTCAAAGCTGCACCTGGGCTCCAAAATCCCATTCTCTTAGTCTGACAGGAAAATTCCTTGGGGACCCCGCTAGCCCTAGTTCCCCCTTTATCAAAATTCCTGCTCTTTAATTTGGCAGAGACAATGCTCACTGAGCTACCTCAGAGCAGTGACCATTCCCTGGTTTTTATTTCCCCAACACTAAGCAAGTGCTGTGTATACAGTAGGTGCTCAAACTCTATAAAGGGATAATGCATTTTGAGGAAATCTAATAATTGCTCTAAGTGCTGTCAAGGCTGAAGGTAAAGTTGCTGTGGTTTCCCCAGACCACAGTGTCCCCAGGGCACTAACGGGCTCTGACCAACCCTTCTGAGGTATAAACAGAGTTGCTGAAAATAGTCCAGTAGACATTAACCTTCTACCATGACCTCCACCTCTGGGCCTCTTCTGTTCTACATTTCTGCTTTGCAGAGACTGAGCAATGCCTCTGGGAGTAATTTTCTTTCTGCTAAACATGCCACATGTCCCTCAAGACCTCTAGAGTTGTCATGGACATTTTAGCATGTTAAGGACTGAACATTCCTCAGAAAATCAACTGTTTTAATTTTTTTTGTTTTAAATTTTTATCCTGTGAGATGCATGGGTTTTTGAACAGAGTATAAAATCTGTTTGTGTGTGTGTGTGTGATATTATTGAATTATACTTTATGTTTATATACAAGTAACATGACTGCCTAACTTTATAGAAAATTATGCACCCAATCATGTTGCAAAAACAAAATTCCTTTGTAAATTTATTAGGAATGCTCTTAATTCAGTGGGGAACTACTGTGTGATATGGAGAATCTTAAAGAAGTTTTTAAAATATCCTACAAACCTACCACTTTGTAAATCTGAATTTTCACATGATGGGTTTTTTTTTTGTATGCTTGTTTTGATGATAGAGAGATACATATTATGGAGCAGCAGTTGAAAACCCCCACATGTTGGAGTCACCATGTTGGGGTGTGAGGACCAGCTCTGCTCATGTTAGCTGTGGGGTCTTGGACAAGTTATGTAACCTCACTGCCTATTGATGCTCTTATCTTCCAAACAAAATAAAAAGAGCAGTTAGCAACAGCCTTGGAGGAATACATAAAACGGACCCTGCACTTTATGAAGTGATTTTAAAGGTTAGCTATTATTGTTTAGTAAAGATCTATTACATAAAATCTCATAAGCCCTGTGGAATCTACAGTCCTTTCTCTGTGGAAATGTACATTTCATAAGGAGAGGGACACGGAGGGTCAGCGGGGGTGGTGGTGGGGAGAGTGAGTGACAGAGGAAGAAAGAAAGAGGAAGAGAATGAACGAATAAATATTAATATGCTGGGAAACAGGAGGAAAGAGAAACAGATCTAGAAATAAAAAAATGCACTTAAAAATAAAAACAAAAACTAACACATAAATAAAGAAACTATTGTGCGCTACGGAATCTGTCCTGGCTCTGCAGTTTCTACTAATAGGTGCTAAAAGATTAACATGGAAACCATCTTTTTTGGAAAAATCTTTGGAGCGACAGTTAAAAATATTCCATGTGTATGATTCTTTGCACTGTGTGGATTTTGCTTATATAGCTGTTGGTTAAATCATTTCCTTATAGAGTAGAAATGACAGCTCCATCTTTAGAAGCTTATATGATTATTTTGCTATCAATCTTTTCTGGTTGCTTTTGTTTTTCAGGTTAGGGTCTGACATACACCATGGGTGAATACCACTGGTAGTTCTTCATGTGAAGACAAATGTGCCTGGTTTCCATTCTGTGGATGTACATATCACACAGAAAGGTGATAATAAACATGCCACATGTCCCTCAGATGTGTTCTGAGGCTGGGTAGGCACCTTGACTCCAACAGTCACGGGGTCTAGGAGACCCCTGAGTATGGGGGCTTCCTGGCCCTCAGCGGCTGGCCACATGGTTATACAAGCATCTTGCAGCTTTTGATTTGACTTTAGGAGAGTGACTAGCTAATTTGAACCTCTTTATTTTGAGGTTCATGACTTAACAATTTTGTCAAGGACTATTGTTACAGACGTTGAGCTCAATTGCTCCTTGCAGTGCTAGAACATTCTAGGAAAATAAATAGAAAGAACAGACACTAATGAATCAAAGTGCTATCTCCAGGTGTGGCAAGATAGACATTATACCATCTAAGCCTCTTTCATGGCTGGGTGATATTGCTGGGATACCTGAGCCACACAGGGCTACATTCCCCAGGTTCCTCTGTATGGAATTGTGGCCACATGACAGGTTTCTGCCCATGAGATGGGAGTGACAGTGGTGAGTGTGTTTCCCCATGGAGGGGTTAGGGAGTAGAGGTCCTCTGCCTCCTTCATTCTCTCTTTCTCCACCTGCTGGCTGAATGTGGATGATCTAATAGAAGTTTCAGGTCCTAGAGGGCAGCGGAGCCACAGTGCAGGCCTTGGCCTCTGCAGGCCTCTGCAAGCCAGGGACAATTGCACTGCATGGGTGTGTGATGAAAAAGGAAATGACTGCATTAAGCCCCTTGACTGTTTGGTCTACCTGTTATAGCAGCAAGTGTTACCCTACTCATGTATCTGGTTTCAGAAAGGAATTCCTTAAAACCAGATTGATGCTGGGACCCAAATCCCTTTGAAAGCTGAAATGCCCTAAGAAGTTGGTTCAGTGAGCCTGTCCTACATAAGATGCATCCTCCCAGTCTACCAAGAACAGGGGGCTACAGTGGGGCCATGCAGCTGAGACATTTTAAAACCCTTGCCCAGGAGTACCCGTTTCACAGGTCTCAGCAAGGAACATGGGATATTGATGGCACATTAAAAGCCTTCATAACTAGAAAAACTGGCCAGGTTATATATGGTGTGCTGTGTTAGAGACCCTCTGACTTGGCCCAGCCGCCCTGAATGGGCGTACACAAACTTATGAGCTGAGTGGCATGCAACTGCTGAGAAGCCTCTGGGCAGCACTTCTGAAGCCCACAGATCAAGCAGAGGCTGCTTAAAACCGTTACTTTTTCCATCCAGCCCATCCATGCTCTTCCAGCTGGTCAGAGCAGACTCCTTCTTTTGATGCTGGCTCCAGTGCCTCGGGTGCCTTGACACAGTCTCCTGGGAAGAGGGCTTCAGGATATCTTCACCAGAGAATGAGAATGCAGACTGGGAGCGCTGTGGGGAGAAAAGAGGGGAAGGGATGAGCTCACGGGGCACAGTCCCTGGGATAAATGAGTTCAGCTTTGCAGAGGACCATGTTTAATACTATGGACTTTTTTTCTGGTGAGCCTTCAAAGCTGAAAATGAGTACACAATGCCACGTCACTGTCACTGTACAAATGGTTCCCTGTTTATTCCACTGCAAGTGGCCAAGCTTACTAGGTAGCATAGAGGTGCAGAAGAATCCTATAGGGCCAGTTCTCACATGGCTCCTTCTTGTCCAGCCATTCTCCCCGTCCATATTTCTTAGGACTAACTGCGTGAAGACCTGCTCTAGGTCATAGAAAAACAAAAACATTTTCCCCTCAAAGACTTTCAAACCCACAGGAATACAAAGTTATGGCACAATGTATGGGTTGTAATAGATGAGCAATCAATGTAGGGTTAATCCACAAGCCCAAGAATGATCACAGCATGTTCCCATTTAGCCCACGAAGCAAAACACAATGAACCCAAACCTAAGGAGAACTGTGGAAATGGGAATTCTAATGACTGACAGGAAACATATCTGAATTGCATCATATATGTAAAGCTCAAATACTGTATACAGAGAACTTTATCAAATATGAAGAGACCAATTTTTTTTGCCTTTGCCATTTAATGAAGGAATTTCATGGTTATTTATTTTGGCCTTTCATGGTTATTTATTTTGGTCTTTTTTATATTGATGACAACATTAAACAAAGTACTGATCTGTAATTCAGGCTCCTGAGCAGGGTGCCTCCCCCTGTTGGCTGATGTTACTGCCAACAGCACCTCTCTCTTCTATCCCAGTGACAAATGTGCTCTCCTCCATGTTCTTATGTTCGTCCTCGCCCACCCCAAGCGCTTAGGATAGAAGACCCAGGGACATGCTCAGGGAGAGCTCTGAGCAGGGCTGTGGCATAGTTTGGAGTTGGACTTGGGAGCCAGCTGTCCCTGGGCTCAAACACCACCTCCGCTATGACACCTTGGCAAAGTGACTTAATTCTGGAAACGACCTTGCCCTGCACTCCCAGTAGATTGCATAATAGGCGAAAGCTTAAAAAAAGATGTTTGCTCATAACAAAGAAAGCCAGCAAAAGCCAGCATGGGATATCTGGGTGACAACTCTGAGCTTTATGGTTGGAGTCTGGGGAGAGGGTGACACACTCAGTGGCCTTGCTTCCTAAGGACACAACCAGTCTGAAAAAGACACAGACAGATGTGGCGCAGAATCCAGCATGCCATTACTGCAGGCCAGGTACCCTCTGGCACAGGCACAAGGCACCAATTCACTATGCTGCAGAGTACATGGCAGACTAGCTTGGGTCCTAAGCTACAGGAAACCTCTAGTTCCCCTCACAGGACTTTTGAGCAGTCTAGGAGGATGATGGGCTTACAAGATAATAAGGAAACTTCTAAGCTGTGCACCAAGGGTTACCACCTGCTCCCATCTCTATGAATGCAGAAGCAAGGGCATAATGGACCTCCAGAGATGCCTTTCAGTGCAGTGACCATAGTTAGCGTGGTTGTATGGCGAATGAGCTGCATCCTTATGGATTCCACAAAACTCTGTGCACAGGTCTCATTTCCAGCGGTCCTGGCCCATGGAACTCCACTGACTGCCCCTTCCCCAAGCTGGTCGGGGACCTGGTTTCCTCTGCTTATTCATGCTTTACTGCACTCTACTGCAAACATCTGTCTTCTGACTGGTGTGCTCACTAGACAGAAGAGCACCCAACGGCAGTTAATGTCCTGTGAGTGGTGACATTCCCAGGCCTTGGCACAGTAAGTGGTACAGAACTAGAAGTCAATGAACACTTGCTGTGGACTTAAGGCTGGCTAGAGGAAAGGTTTTCAGAAGTGCCTGAATTATTTTTCACTAATTTCTTAGGTACAATTGGGGAGTAAGAGGAAATAATTGCATCCTGGAGAGCAAGGTTTTACTTGGAGAAGAGACAAACACACACACAAGTGGCTTGCGGCCAAATGCTTCTTTCATTCTGAGGACACAGCAAGGACTCCCTGTCCCCAGTGTTGGGAACGGTTCTGATGATGCCACTTGACAAGCCCAAAGGTTTTCATGGAGCTGGGGATTCAAGGAACTGTTTGTGATTTTGTGAAATCCTTGAAAGATAATGAGAGGCTTTCAGAAAGCACAGAGATCAAGGCTGATAGTCAAGTGCAGGGATGTTATTAGAAAGAAGGAAACATCTTCCTAAGGCAAACCCCACGTTGTGAGGGGATATAGCCCTGGTACTGATTTCACCCAGAACTGGGCAAAGGTTTTCTATGAGACCACACAGGTCTTTCCACACATTGACTTGTCAATTTCTTCACAGACTGGGAGCTCCTTGAAGGCAGAAATGGTCTTCTGTGTGTGATCCTCAGACTCATATTTGCACCTGAATTTGCAGGATGTACGACAGTTCTGGCTCTTAAGGGGCTGACAGTCCCATCGCCAGATCCAGTATGACTGCAGCTACAGAATCCATTCGGTGTATTCCGACTTTAAAACAAAAGTCTACAAGATTTTCACTGTAAATCACTAAATACATGTTTCAAAAAGGGAACCAAATAATATATCATATTTTATTTGTGCTGGCTCAAACTATATCTTATGTGAATAGTATATGTATGTAGGAGGTTGGTGAGGGTCCATTTTTATGAGGAAAAATGCTCCCTACCCCCCTACAAAAGTCAAGACCAACAAATGAAAACTCTCCCTAGTCCCAACAGGGAAAATGATTCTGTGTTTTTCATGAGGGCTGGGATGTCCGATTTTTATAATCTATTTAAAGCAAGCCACTGGTACATATTTTAAAAATTGTAACCTGACAACCACAAAATGTAATAGTCCTGTCTCCTTCCAGCCCAGGATACTGGGCCCACTGCCTCAGGCCAGGGTGGAAGAGTCCCTTAATATCTAGACCTGGTTTTGCCACGCATTCACTGCAATAAGCAAAAACACCAGCAGATGGTGCAACAGCAGCACTTTTACTACTCGGCTGGCTCCTGGGAAGCAATAGGAATTTTTAATAATTTATTTATTCATTACCCTAGCCAAGCCTTTGTGTCCACCCTTTCTTTACCACTCACAGCCTCGGCTTTTCCCCTTCTTCTTACCCACCCGAAGTCCACCAAAGAAGCAGGACTGGGGACGTCTGGAGTGGGGGTGGTGGGGTTTCCTGTATTCAGCACATCAACACCTTGGAAAGATGGACATGAAAATCTGAACTTCCAAATAGGCACTGGCTCTTTACTCCTTGATTTTGCTTATTCATTTTTACTTTTCAATTTATTTTGTGTGTGGTTCTGGAGATTGAACCTAGAGGTACTGTAACCACCCACCAAGTCTCCCCACCTAGCCTTTTTTTTTTTTGGACAGGGTCTTACTAAGTTGCCCAGGCTGGCCTTGAACTTGAGATCCTCAGACTCCTGAGTTGCTGGGATTATAGGAATGTGCCACTGTGACTGGCCTGGAGTGGCTGTTTACTCTTTGGGCACTAATTCATGGGTGAAGTTTCAGATAGAGTGAGTCAGTGGCTCTTCCTCTTGCTATATGGGATCTTGGAGGAACTTCAACTGTTCTAAGCCTCAGTCCTCACATTAATGGATCAGTATCATACCCAGCATAGAGAAGTCACTTAATAAATATTAGCCCTAGTAAGAGCATTTATTAAGCCCCACCACTGACTCTAATCCATTAACCCATTAAAAATGACTGGGAGCACATGGGTAACTGAGTCCGTTGAGTAACTTCCCCAAAGCAGTTGAGGGACAGGGGCAGGGTTTGAGCTCGGATCTGCGTGGCTTCAGGTTGGTCCCCTTCCATGCTGTCCTGGTGTGCGCCTGCAGCCTCTGATGAAAGCCTGGGAACAATGTGCTCCAACCCAGCAGGGTTTGCCATCTGAACCTGCTGGCTGTCAAGCTCTCAGTGAAACACCCCTGTGATCACCAGCAGCCTTTGCTGTCCTTCCTTTGCAGTCCCAGCGTCTCCTATGTGGGCAGCAGCAATGTGTTCTACCGAGCTCTCTTGAAATGACAAATTGTTGTGATGATTGCTGTGATTATCATCATTGCAAAAGGACAGGCTTCTGAGACACTGAACATGGCTTCAAAATAGTCTTTACTCTCAAAGAGCTCACAGTTATTAAAAGAGGGAGAGAATATTTTCATTATCCAGGCTTTGGATACAAGGAGATCGATAAGCGTGGTCATATGAAGAAAGAACTGATAAAGCTTTGCTTTGTATTTTTAGGGTCAAACAAAGGCATTAAATTTAGTCCAATAATTATGCTCATAATAAAAAAGTATTTTAATTCTCTATTATGGCTATTCAAAGGAAAGAGCAACTGTGAGGGAGGAAATGAGGGAGACACAAAGAGAAAAGGCTAAGGAAAATAGAAAGGGGCCAGAGAGAAAACAGAGGAAGAGTCACACAGAGGTTCATCTTAGTCACTGGGCACATAGTCAGCGTCTGGTCCCTGCAGTCATTATCATTATCAACAGGATCACCAGAGTATTACAGACACCCTTTCATATACACACACGCCCACGGGGCCATTAAATGATCACAGCCCTTGCATTAGTGTCTTCTAGGATATCGCATCTTAAGGCTTTTAAAGCCAGGTTGCACCGACCCCCTACTAGCAGAGAGCCACATAATGAGGGAGGAAATTAAAAAGGGAACAATCACACGGAACTGTCTTTCGAGAGAAGAGATGAGAAATCCCATCTGAATGGAGCTGAATTAAGTTTGGGTATTACAGTTAAGTCCAAGCAGTGGGGCTGGCAGGGTTTTGGGGTTCTGCACCGTTATTCCCTAGACCCCAGGTGTCAAGGTTGTTGGAGAACTGCAGAGAAAGGACAAAGTCCTGCCAAGAGCCCAAAAGTTTAGGGTCCTTTACAATTTGAAGGTCAGGAAGCCCTACTCAGGACAGCATCCTTAACCCCGGCAGCTGTTGGCATCGCCTTGGAATATCTGGTAAGAGTGTGGAGGCCCAGTCTCTGGCCTTGACCCCCTGAGTCAGACCCCTTGGAGTGGGGCTCAGACAGGTGAAGTCCTGAGAGCTGACTCTTGGCCTGCTGGTTCATCTTCCAGGCTCTGGCTACTGTTTCACATGTATTTCTGCCTCTGTGCCCTTTGTTTATCTCTTTATTTACACCACTAAACAACTTTTTGGGATGATGGAAATGTTCTGTATCTGTACCATCCAATGAGTGGCCACTAGACACTGGTGGAATTAAGTCCTTGTGGCCAGGGGTGACCCAAGAATGGGAGTTTTAATTTTATTTAACTTGGTGACTTGGGCCACCGTACTGGAGAATCTCTGAGCTGAAAGGAACCTTGGAGATCACCGAGTTCACTGATCTCCATTCAGTGGGGCTTGCGGATCCCCGCATGTCAGGGAGACACCAACAGCTGCTGTTTTCTGGGCTTGGGGCTTGGATGGCCAAAACATGGAGAGGTTCAGCTCATGACTCATAGGGGCTACCTTGATGATACAGTGACATTGATTTTGAAATGCAGAAATAAAGTAATATCAGAAAGAACGTGAACTTTCATTCAGAGATGACACCTATGTGCTACGTGGCCCACACCTGCTTCTCATTAAGTCCCTAGCCATGGAGCTCCAGCCATGTGTCTTCTGTTCTGTCTCTTGAACAGGCCTGCTCAGAGCCTCCGTGCACACTGTCCCCAGTGCCAATGCTCTTCCTTTCATTGCTCCTAAAGCTCTCATCTTTCAAGTCTTGCTTTCAGGTCACCTAGGAAAGAATCTCCCGGATGCTTCCTAATCAAGCTTTCCCTCCTTCCCTGCCTCCCTCTGGACAGCAATGACTGGAATGTGTATTGCTGGGCCCCCCAGATTAACGTGCAGTGTGCCGAACTGGAGGGAAGCCCTGTCTCTGTGGCACCTAACACAGCACCTCGCGCACAGCAGAAGCTCAGTAAAGACTGTTGACTACATAAAGAATCATCAGAGTTGTCCTTTTGGGCAGGTCTCTTTTATACCATTTTATAGACAGGATATAATACAGTTATTCAAGTTCACAGAGCTAACCAAGGGCAAATTCAGAATCCCTCTCAGGAGTAGCAGAGGCAGAGTCTGAGCTCCCTGTACTTAGCCCTGACCCCTCTTGCTCATGGCTGAATCTGGGGGTGGTGGAAATTTCTAATTCTTAGAACCCTCAAAGTTGACTCGTTTGCAGAAAATACTTCAGAAAGACTCCCCAAATGCAAAACAATATTATGCATGCAGCCTGAGCCCAGAATGGCAGGTGTGATTTAGTGACAGGTCTGAATGACAGGCTATTTGAAGGATATTGGCATCCCTGCTCTCTCCTGTAGAAGGCTTTCCCCTCTCATCGTCAGAAGGGCCTCTCTCTTCTGTGAATCTCAAATGCCTTTTCTGTCTCGATCTTGCCACCGAGTGTCCAATTATGCGCTGACTTCCCTTATCTTCTTTTACCAGTCTTAACTAACTGTATCTACACCTGCCTTGCTAACCAGCTAATAAAGTTGGGGGGCGGGGTGCAGGGACTGAGTCTTCTACTTATTTTGTTCTCTTTGGTGCTGAGCGTGTGACGGTAGCTGTAAAGCAAGCTGGCAGTGTGCTGATAGGGAAGGTTCTGCCGATGAATCAAAGAAATGAAATTTTTGATAAAGCCATGAAGGTCCTTGTTACTGCCATGTGCCCAGTGGCTTGTGAGGGTGTGGGGAGTTTATGTAGGTGAGTCTGTCTAGGATGTAGGTGAGCCTGTAACTGCATGCCACTGTGTGCTGCTTTGCACACTCTTTTATCAATCAGCCCCATAGGGATGGATGTCACTGGACCTTTAGGGGAGCAGACTGAAAACCTGGCAATGCCTGTCCACCTTGTCTGACTTTCCTCTATTAAAGGGCACCCATGTGTTCCTGTCCATGCCCCAGACTCTGACCACAAGCACCAGCAGCTCACAGAATCCTGGGTTTCTGGCTGACTCCTTTCCCAACATGCTGCACTTCCTCTGCTGGGCTTACTGAAACAGTCCCCAAGGAATTTTCTAGGCTCAGTGACTACTGCAGATATGAACAACCCAGACCCATGGGCCCACAGGAAGGCCACTCTGCTCTGTGACTCGGCTCTTGGCTTAATTTCAGGGTAACAGACAAAGAGGGTGGCTCCGCATTGTGACTTCCCAACCCTGTCTAGAGGTGACCACTTGGGTGGCTGAAATGGCCCCTGGCAATTTTCTCACGGTCACTTCTGCGTGACCTAAGCGATCTAGGTTTAAGAATTCACACGGCCATCGTAAAGCTATTTTCCCCCCTCACTCAGTACACATCTTTCCAGAATGCATAAAAATTATAGCCTACCAACATCTTCATTTTTCTTAAATTGGTCTCTGCGTAAAAAACCCACTGCGTGTTCACCCACAGTCCTCCTGTGCTTTTTTTTTTTCTCATTCTCTCTCTCTGCTCCCACACCCCACTGGGCCCCCACTCACTCGCCCTCTTGGTTTCTCTCCTGGCTGACCTTTAGGATCCAGTGGGCACACGAGACAACCACAGGTGGCTAAGGGCTCTGATGCGCACATGTGCAGGGTTGGTGGTGCTGCTGGGGACTCACCCAGAGGGTGGGGAGTGCTTGGTGGCCTGGTGGGGAGGCGGCGTCCCCCTTGTCCGCCTTCTTGGAGCTGCAGCTCTGGGGCTGTGGCCACTCGGGCTCCTCTTCCACTTGCTGCTCACTTTTGCTTTTCTGCTTCCTTATGATCTGATGGGAGTGAAGGGAGGCCAATGAGGACAAGTTGTTGGGAAGGATGCCAGAGACCTGGCACCACCTCTGGGGTTTTCTTTTTCAGCTACTTAGGAGTTTATTTTCTATAGAACATCAGCTTGGTTCAGATCTGTCTTTTGATAAAATAGCACGTACAGCCTTGCTGTGGTCTGTGTCTGGAATGTTCCCTAAAGGCTCATGTGTTAAAGGCTTGTGGTCTCCAGTGCAGCCATGTTCAGAGGTGGGGTTTTGGGGAAGTGATTGAATCATGGGGGCTCTGACCTCATCAGTGAATGAATTCTCTGATGGATTAATAGTTGGATGGAATTACTGGAAGGTAGTAAAAATGGTAGGGGGGCTAATTGGAGGAAGTCGGTCATTGGGGTATATCCTGGATATTTTTTTTAATCCCTGCCCGCTTCCTCTTCCTCTTTCTCTTCCCAGGTCCCATGAGCTGAGTAACTTCCTCCACCATGATGTTTCCTTGGAGTCAGCTGACCATGGACTGAAACTTCTGACACCATGAGTCAAAATAAAGCCTTCCTCCTTTAAGTTACTTATGTCAGGTAATTGGTCACAGCAACAAGGAGCTCACTAATACAATCCTTGAATGTTCTGCTGCTCTTTACAGTTTATAAATATAACTGTCCCTCTGTATCCATAGAGAGTTTGTTCCAGGAACCTCTCTCCCCTGCAGATACCAAAAACCATGCATGCTCTAATTCCTTTTAAAAAAAATGGCACGGTATTTGCATGTATCCTATATACATCTTCCTGTGTACTTTAAATCATCTGTAGATTATTTATAATACCTAATCCATTATAAATGCTAGGTGAATAGTTGCTAGGCTGCCTTGTTTAGGGATAAATAACAAGAAAAAGAAGGCCTGGCTGTGTTCAGTACAGAGGCAACCATCACAGATCTGGGTACCTGGTAGATACCAGGGGAATGATGCTCCAATGAGTCCTGGAGAGGAATGAAGGGCCTGTGAGATGGCAAAAGGCTGCAGCAGGTGTGCTGGAGCATGCCTTCATTCATGTGGACTCGGACTAGTACTTAGTGCATGGCCAGTTCAAGTTTTGCCCTTTGAACTTTCTGGAACTTTTTCCTCCCTGATTGAATATTTTCAATCCATGTCGGTTAAGAAGTACAACCATGAGATACATCCACAGATATAGACCATACACCAACTAGAACCCTTTTATGATGTTAGCAGCTTCTTCTATCTAAGTGTCCACCATGTTGGACTGTGTTAGGTACCATATGGGCTTTACCTCATTTAGTCCTCAAGATATCTATAAAAGTTATGCATGACAATTCTCCCCATTTCATAAATGAGGAAACAGGCTCAGAGAGATTAAATTATCAGTTAAGGCCACATGGCTTATAAATGGTTGCACTGTCACGGTGACCAAAAGACCTGACAAGAACAGCTTAGAGAAGGAAAAAGTTTATTTTGGCTAATGGCTTCAGAGGTAACCAGTGTCTCTGGATGCAAGTCCTGACATTAGGAAGCATCTGAAAGTCCTAAGGACAGGGCAGACACCAACATCAGGTGGGGGTGGCTTCAGCTCCAGCCAATGAGCACCAGCAGTAATGTAGGTTTTCGTGGGGCCATCTGTACAAAGGTCTCTGGGCTCTCAAATTCTATAGGCAGGAAGCAGTCAAGAAAACTTCCCAGGGAACCAAGATGGGCATATTCTTCAATGCCCTTTTAGACTAGAGAGGATAATGAAAGGAAGACTCTGTGAGCCAGGGAACAAGGAACTGAGGAGCCTGACCAGGGACAGACCTGAGCCTAATTGGGGTATGTCCCTCATCTACAGGGTGGGGACCAGCCCTTTGTCATGTGCTTTTTCAGTCCCTCCCAGTACAGGGAGAGTATACTTCTCAGTCCTTGGCCTTGATCGTGACCTTGGGACTTGCTTCTGTCTATGGTATGTGAATCAGTAACAGTGGTCAGGGCTGGTTAAGAGCCACCATGTGCTTCTTGCTCTCCCTGTGCTCCTGTCATGGCTCCATGTTTGCTCTTCAGCTCCCCAGGTCCCTGATGCTGCCTGCCTGGGAGACTATAGCCATCTGGATTGTTAGGGCACAACTACCTTCTGCAGTATTGTGGTGGCCAGCTCCTCAGTTAGCTCCTCCTTGTGATCCCGCAGGTAACTGGCCTCGTTCTGCTTGTCCTGCAAGGGAAAGGAATTGAGGGGATGAAGTATCACTGTCTTGGAGGAGTCCTGAGCACACGTGCAGATGGGGTCAGACACTGGTCTAGTAAAAGCTGTTGGGTCACTGACGTCCCAACTTACCTGCACCACCTCCCAGCAACAAGGACCCTCACCCCAACCTCCCACCAGGGAACAGGGAAGCCCTACCAGACTGTCCCCATGGGCCTCGGCTTTGGAAATGGCTTCTTCAATGGCCTCTTCTGCTACTCGTAGGGCGACGGCCAAGGTGTCCATCATGCTGTGTCCTAGACATGAAGCAGAACAGGGAGCACTTTCTAAAATGCAGTGGCAAGCCACAAGACTGCTTTACCTTCAGCTTCTGCTTAAAGCCTTTGAGGTGCCAGGACAAGGTCCAGCTACTTTCAGTGGCAAGTTCAAGTTCCTTGCCCTTCCCGCCTGCCTCCCTCTGACTCCCACTCTTCATTCAGATCTCACACCCCAGACACAACAGGTGTTTTGAAATTCTTTGAGTATTACCACCTCTCTTCTTAATTCTCTTATTTTGCTCCTCTGCCCTGCATATACTGTATCATTGTGATGATAGGGACAGAAGTTATCATATGTCCTAAGGACACAGGGCTGTGCCAGTGGTTTAATGCAAACACAAAACCCATGGGAGAATTTTTTTTTTTAGACCATAAATCAACATCACTAACCACAACACTGGCCAAGCTCACAGAGTTCAACCAGATGCCAGGGCCCAGGCTGAGAGTTTCACATGGGCAACCACTGAATCCTTCCAAAAACCAATGACGAGGTACTATGCAGAGACCATTTTACAGATGGTAAATTTGAAGCACAGAGAGGTTAAATAACTTGACTGAGATAAGAACATAAGACAATAAAAGAACTAAGATTTGAATTAAGTACTCTGTCTCTAAAGCCTGTGATTTTAACCATAAAAGTGAAATGAATACAAGCTAACATTCCTTTTAAAAACAGTGCAATTGTATTTTTTAGCGAACACACTCTTTGTATATGGCAGTGAATGGGAAGAAGTATTGTCTAAATCAAAGGACTTCCCCAGGTGAAGAAAAGTGCTGGGAAGAGTTCTGCTTCCCTTGAGGTACTGGAGTTTTGCTTCATATCTGTGGGAATTTCTATCATCTTTCCGTTAGTTTGCTTCAGAAACCCAAGTTATATCAGGCACAGGAATGTGAGTCTGAGAGGGTTGGGTGCTTAGGTTTCTTTTTCCCCGATTTCAGCCTCTTATTTCCATTTATAATCTCCAAGCCATGTATTATTTAACACATGCAAATCCCCTGAAAGCTGCTGAAAACTCCTTATGGAACAAGACAGGGGGCAAACACATTAATTCATTAATTAATCACTTGCTCAATTAAAAAAAAAAAACATTCAAGCTTCTTAGACTCCTAAAGACACAAATGTGAACAGAAACTAGCATTTGGCAAACATAATAAAGTTTCTAAAACCAACATAGTTAGTGCAGGTCAAAGCGATTTTGCCAGCTAATGCAAACATGATGGAGCAGCACAGGGCAATCGAGCCTGGGGCTCTGCATCCTGTAGTGTTCCTGACTGAGTGCACAAAGAGTTTTCCCAATGTTTCAATAATCAGAACCAATAAAATCTAAGTTGTCATCACACCAAGCGCTTCCTGGAGAAAGACCCTATATCCCCTGTCTCTCTTTATCGTGATATCATGAAGAGGTCCACATTCTCATTGAACAAACTTTTGCAGAGTACCTCCCCTGAGCTAAGCTCTGGGGTGTCCGCAGTGATGCTCTAACGGACAAGGTGAGTCCACATTCTAAGCTATAGGGTGACCAGGTACCCAATTGATAGGGAATTACCAAGTCCCATAGATCCCTGGAAAACAAGCAGCTGGAGCCATAATTAGAAAGGCTTTGGATGCTATATTTATTTATTTATTTATTTATTATTAATTAATTTATTTTAATTAGGTATACATGACAGGAGGATGCATTTTGATTCATTGTCCACAATAGCAGCACAACTTTTCACTTCTCTGATTGTACATCATGTAGCATCACACCATATGTGCAGTCATACATGTACCTAGGGTAATGATGTCAATCTCATTCCACCATCTTTCCTGCCCCCATGCTCCCTCCCCACCTCTCCCCTTTTCCCCATCAAAGCACCCTTTCATGTTCAAAACACTAGAAAAACTAGGGATAGTAGGAACATATCTCAACATTGTGGAAGCTATCTATGCTAAACCCAAGGCCGACATTATTCTAAATGGTGAAAAATTGGAAGCATTCCCTCTAAAAACTGGAATAAGACAAGGATGCCCTCTTTCACTACTTCCATTCAATATAGTCCTTGAAACTCTAGCCAGAGCAATTAGAGAGATGAAAGAAATTGAAGGGGTATGAATAGGAAAAGAAGAACTCAAACTATCATTATTTGCTGATGACATGATTCTATATTTAGAGGATCCAAAAAGCTCCATTAGAAACTTCTAGAATTAATAAATAAATTCAGCAAAGTAGCAGGATATAAAATCAATACCCATAAATCAAATGCATTTCCATATGTCATTGATGAATCCTCTGAAAGAGAAATTAGGAAAACTACTCCATTTACAATAGATTAAAAAAAAATGGGAATCAACAAAAGAGGTGAAAGACATCTACAACGAAAACTTCAGAACACTAAAGAAAGAAATTGAAGAAGACTTTAGAAGATGAAAAGATCTTCCATGCTCTTGGATAGGCAAAATTAATATTGTCAAAATGGGCGTACTACCCAAAGTGCTATACAGATTCAATCTGATTTCAATTAAAATCCCAATGTCATTTCTTACAGATATAGAAAATCCATCATGAAATTCATCTGGAAAAATAAGAGACCCAGAATAGCCAAAGCAATCCTTAGCAAGAAGAGTAAAGCAGGAGGCATCACAATACCAGACCTTAAACTAGACTACAAAGCTATAGTAACAAAAATGGCATGGTATTGGTACCAAAATAGACATGTAGACCAATGGTACAGAATAGAAGACCCAGAGACAAACCCACACAAATACAGTTATCTCATACTAGACAAAGGTGCTAAAAACATACATTGGATGCCATATTTATGATTCCGGGATCAGAATGATGTGGAAAACAGGCTGAAAAGTGAAGGTTTAGGCTGGTATTTCAGAGAGAAAAACTGCTGGGGATGTAAAAGAGGGTTTGTTAAATGACATAATGTTTGATTTTATGTGTTACTTGGCTAGGTCATCGTATCTAGTTATTTAATCAAGCATTAATCTATGTGTTTCTTTGAAGGCATTTTGTAGATGTGGTTAATGTCTACAATCAACTGACTTTATGTAAAGTAGATTACCCTCAGCAATGTGGGTGAGCCTAATTCAATCAGTTGAAAGGTCTCAGAGCAAATACTGATGTTTCCCAGAGAAGAAATTCTGTTTAAGGACCACATCATATACTCCTGCCTGAATTTTCAGACTGCTGGCCTACCCTATGGATTTCAGGTTCTCCAGGCCCCAATGACTGCATGAGCCCGTTCCTTGAAATGCATCTCTCTGTGTGTATGTATACATACCATATGGCTCCCATTGGTTCTGTTTCTCTGGAGAACTCTGTCTGACATAATGGTCACTGAAATTAGTATTAATACAGAAGAATTTCTTGCAGGGAGCTGCTCAGACTATGAGCCTCAGAGTGGAAAGAAAAGGCTAAGATTAGAAACAGAGGTGGTAGGCAATGGGTGGATGGGTAGAAGTGGGGAAAGAAACAGAGGAAAAGATGACTCTCACTGGTGGACCTAAGGGGCTAAGGGGCTTGATTAAGATATGCTGAGGTTAAGAATCCTATAGGATCTTTGTGTCCTAATGACTAAGCATTAGATTTCTGAGTCTAGAACTCTGGGTTGAAACCAAGGCTGGGCATTTCAGGGTCAGCGACAAATAGCTGTGCACTGAGGCCATATGACAGCGTGTGGTAGCCCTTGGGGATGTTACTGGAAGTAAGGGTGACTGCAGATGGAGTCTTCAGGAGAATTTTCAGGAAAGATTTGTCTGTCTGTCTATCCATCCATCCATCCATCCCTCCATCTATCTCTTATGGAAACTGGGTCATAGGATCATGGAGACTGGCAAGTTTCATGATGTGCTGTATGCAAGCTGAAGTCCCAGGAAGGCAGGTGGTGTGATTCAGTCTAAGTCTGAAGGCCTAAGAATTGTGGGAGTCATTTGCCTAAGCCCTGAAGTCTGAAGGCATCAGAAGCTCTTACGTCTGAGGGCAGGAGGGCATGAATGCCTCAGCTCCAGAAGAGTGAGTGAATTTACCCTTCTACCATCTTGTTCTATCTAGCACTATTATGTTCCGGATATGGGGTGTCCCCCCAAACTTCCTGTGTTCATGCAGTAATACTTGGGAGGTGAAATGACTGGATTGTGAGAGTGATAACACAATCAGTTCCTCTTATTTTGAATGGACTGACTGGGCGGTAACTGTAGACAAGGGGGGCCTGGCTGGAGGAGGTGGGTCACTGGGGGTGTGTCCTGGAAAGGTTCATCTTCCCTGATACCCCTTCCTCCTTCCTTCTCTCTACTTCCTGACCCCACCTTGAGCTAAGCAGCTTTCATCCATCCAGCCCTTTGGCCACGATGCTCTACCTCACCTTGGGCCCAAAACAATGGAACTAGCAGAGATGGACTAAACCTCTCAAACCAAAATAAACTTTTCCTTCTCTAAATCCTTCTTGTCAGGTACTTTGGTCTTGGCAATGCAAAGTGGACTACACACAGGTCCTCAAGGGATTGGAGGATGCCCACCCACATTGCTGAGTGGATCTTTACTCCACCAACTGATTCAAATGCTAAACTCTTCTAAAAACACCCTCACAGACGCACTCAGGAATACTGTCTTACAGGAGACCTGAGACCTCCTTAGTTGAGTAGACATATGGAATTAATCATACGGAACCCAGAGAAAGAACAGAGACGGTGCAGAAGAGCTGTGGGCCTCCCACAGGAGGTGGATGATTCAGGAGGCACTGGTACCAACAAGTAGAAGGTAATCAGTAGGTTATACTTTCTTTATAGGGCACCATATTTTAATGAGATGCACAGGTGAATGGATTATTATGTTCTAACTCCAGAACATTAACTAGTGGATTGTAAAATATCCAATGATCGGGTGGTGAACACAGCTCTCTAGGCCATGCTTGGGATATACTCACCTATTTTGATGATGGATTCTTCCAAATAGCAATAAGAAGACTCATACAGACTAACACATAGCAATAAATGGTTGCATTGGGGTGTGGATACGACTGGGAGACCCTGACAGTCTGATGGTGTTTCTATTCCTCCAACTTCCCAGGAGCTGTGATCTCTTAAGCAACCTTACCTTCTGACTGCCTATAAAATGTTGAGTCACTGCCTGAAATGCTTCCTTCATTCTCCAGGTTAGACTCAAAAAAGCCTCCTCCTAAAGGAGAGAGAGAGAAAAAAAAATGATTAGCCTTCAGCAATCAATGAGTACTGATGTGCTGAGTCCTGGAATTGGCAGCAGACCATGACACACTTTTGACTGTTAGTCTTGCAAACAGATTGAGAGAGTCACTGGGTCCCACATTGATGTTCCAATCTTGGACCTATGTTTTTTTTCTTCTCATACTGATTTCTGATCATCCCCCGCAACTTTCTTCCAAAACATTTTCCTATGGTTTGAATGTTTGTTCCCTCCCAAACTCATGTTGAAATTTAATCCCAATGCAACAGTATAGGGAGGTGGGGCCTAGTGAGAGGTGATTAGGTCCTAAGGGCTCCACCCTCGTAGGTGGATTGATGCTGTTTCAATAGGAGTGGGTTAGCCATTGCAAGTAGGCTTGTTATCATGGAGGGCTCCTCTTGCTCTCTTGGCCTCTCACCAGTGATCTCCAGCTGTGTTCTACCTTCTACCATGGATGACATGTTCTTAGACTTCTCAGCCTCCAGAACTGTGAGCCAAATAGACTCCTATTGTTTATACATCACCCTGTCTCAGGTATTTTGATAGAGCAACACAAAACACACTACGATTCCTTTCAGGCAATATGGAGTCAAAGGCAGAACCACATACCAAAGTCTGAGAAATGTGAAGTCAGCTCCTGGACATGAAAATTACTAGTTGTGTGACCTTGAGCAAGTTACTTCTCTTCTCTAACATGTGACTTCCAAACCAGAAAAATAGGAGTATCAATTCTACTCTCTGATGTGTGAAGAAACATTCCACACATCATTAGCTAGAGGCCATGGCACCCATCCAAACAGAGGCCTTTAGCTAATGATTTAATGGATTTAATGGTGGTCATTCTCTTCTGCAGAAAAGAACCCACATGAAGCAAACCCAGAATGAGCCAGGTAAGCCTGGTTTTCAGTCTCCTAAGACCTTCTGCCACTTCTCTCAAGGGAACACATAACTCTGGTCTTCATTCCAGTTTGGGAAGAGCAACTGGCTAAGACCTTTTTTAAGCCCTCTTTCTGGATAAGGATTGTTAACCTGTGCTCCCTTAATAACTCATCAGCTGAGATCTCTGGAGGTGAGGATAATGGTTTTTCTTTCTTTAATCACTGTACCTCAGAGCCCAAGATAGCAACCAGACATCAGGTGACTCCAAAAATTAAAAATAAAAATATTTTGAATTAGATGCTGGTTGAAGACACAGACAAATCCCAAGAAAATAAATATGGACCTACATTACTTAGCTCCAAAGGGGTAAAATGCTATTGATCTCAGGCCAAATAGGCTGTCAAGGAGGCATTCACAGGGAAACACTGAAGGTATTGGCTGTGGATATTTGTAGTGGGTTTGGTAGGCTGCTGCTCTCTTTAGGAAATAAATCATTAGTGTGCATCCTGTCATCGTAATTCAGCCTGACCATATGTCACTCTCTGTGTTTGGGTTTTTAGCCTGAAGTCCATCTACTCTAGCTCTGTGACCTGAGAAAGAAACTTTCTCTCCCTAGGTCTCAGTTTCCTTACTTTGAGAATAAAGTTTCTGGATAAGCCACATCTGCAGTTCCCAGTCTGTCTGAGAATGGTTCTCTTTGGCAAAACCTCATTCAGCATTCATTCATTCATCTTGCAAATAAATAGTTCACAGTTATCTACTAGGTATCTGAGCTTAAACTAGGCATTAGGGGCACATTGGTGAGGAAAGGTGGAAACCCTCCCTGCCCCAACAATCTTGAGAACATAGTGTAGTCAAAGACTTGCATAAATAAGTAGCAAGTAGCAGATATGTTAAGTGCTCTGAAGGGGTAGTTAACACAGTATAGTGAAAATGTTCAGCAGGAAAGACACGTCTAGTCTGTGAGAACCAGCCAATTAGGTATGGGAAGGTGGGAGATCAGCGTGGGCAGAGCAAACAGCTGGTGCAGAGACTGGCAGTAGGAGCGCATAAAGAAGCTTTCACCTGTGTACCATGGGGGTCACCTGAATGTACCGTGGTGGACACTGATTGAGGTGCAGATGAAAGGAGATGAATCCTAGTGGGCCCAGCACCTAATCTCCTTCAGTTGTGGAGATACTTATTCCCAGAAAATGATTCTTCTTTCAAAATGCCACTTGTATTTTGAAAACCCTGCATTAGCCCACGAGGTATTCATGTCTGCCTTCTCTACGTGTGGGGCTTTAGAGAGAAAGGGAAAGAAATTGGAATTGTGTTCTATTCTTATAGAACTCCCCACACATGTTTGCTCTTCTTAATTTGCATGAAGTGGTAGAAAACGCTTAGGAGATTTAAATGTGGTGTTATAAAGCGGGTACATAAGGCAGACCCGAGTATGCACAAGAGAGGATTGGATATAAATGAGTGAGTGGATTCTGTTCTGGAAACTTCTTCAGATATCTGTTTGAGTCAAAAAACTGTTAATAGGGCTGGGGTGTGGCTCAGTGGTAGAATGCTCGCCTGGCATGCAGGAGGCACTGGGTTGGATCCTCAGCACCACGTAAATGTAAAGTAAAGATATTGTGTTCACCTAAAACTAAAAAATAAATATTAAAAAAAAACCCTGTTAACAGCATTACTTTAAAATTTTATTTCTTTTTTTGCCTGGTGAAAAACTTTTAGAAAAATAAGTAAAAAGAAGATAAAAATAACACGTGGAAAACCTTTGGCTGCTCTCAGCTCTAGGCTTCCTGAGGAGTTTGAAAGACAGAGAGTCTAACAACGACCACAAAAGGCCCTAATGATTCTCTGAGTTTAATACTTCCATCCTATTTCCCTCGTTATCTAAGTGGCTGGCATATTTTTAGATAAGACACAACCAAAGGCTTTATTGAGAATACAACAATGTAAAATAATGATGGCAAGAAAGCTCCAAATGAGATGGATGAGATATTTTTTTTCCTTTCCTTGTTTCGCATGGACAAAAAGCATTTACCTGTGTCAGCAGAGTGATGGAAAAAATATGCATCTAGATATAAAAAACAGCCTTTTTAAGAGGACATGCTGTTCATAATATTTTTTTTTTTCCTACAGGTTGGTCTAATAAGGTATAAAGAACATAATCTCTCATTCTAATTAACTTGGTGTCGTGATGGTATAAAAACAGCATAGGTAGAAATTCATCCTTCAGCTCTCCTAGGAGGATGCTGATGCTCTGGTAAGTTCCCCATGACATCAGACTCTGGGTCTGGTAAGAATAGACTTTTGGGGTATAGGAAGAAGAGAAAGACAGGGGCACAGCCTCAGAGTGTGGACCTCATCTCTCTTAACCAAATGAAAATGACTTTCAACTGTTTTAGTCATTGGGGAATGATGAGCAAGAAACTTTCATCTCCAGGGATCCAGAATTAAAATATCCATAGTTTGCAGAAATATTTTGGTCTTCCTGGCTCCTATCATGTCAGCTCTAGCCCATTTGGGATGTTGGGACCCAAAGTCAAATTTTAACACTGGTACCTTTCCTTCTCTTTCTGCTGCTCACTAACACCTGATCTTTAGGCAAATTTCTCTATCTCACGTGAGTGTGCTCCAGTGTGCAGGAGCTCCAGGCCTGGCCTTCTTCCAACTGTCCACCCACCAAACACTCCCAAGCCGCAGACAGTCAGGGTACCTAGAATGTCCAAGCTGGCACCGCTCTCCAGCCGGTGTTTCCGGTACAGGTTTTTTAGGACCTTGGCACTGCCGAAGCGCTTGAAGCGGCTCTTCACATTATTGTAGAACCATTCCAGAGACTGAGTCCTCAGAAGTCTGGGGAAACAGAGAATTAGAATTATTAAGTGGTGAATTGTAAAAATTGCTACAATGCCGCACGGCCCCTTGCATTAGGAAGTAGTGTTTATTTTTTGCTTTAGTTTCTTAGCCCCTTGAATCTGGGCTGCTTTATCCCTTGGTCTGATCATATAGAGTGGCAGAAGTGATGCTGAATCCTTCTCTTGCTGCTCCTGGGAATCCTATAATCTTATGTGAAGAGAAGCCCAAGCTGGTCTGCTGTGAGATGCCATGAGATATACTAGGCGGCTCAATTATTCCTCTTGTCCCAGCCAATAGCCAGCCAATCCCCCGAAAGGTGAATGAAGCCATTGACTAGAGATGCCTGAGACGAGGGACCCTAGGTGAGACCCTCCATCCAAGTCCATCCCATGAACAAGCCAATAAATGCTTGCTATTTTACTGTTTTGAGTTGGTTCATTACACAGAAAAGCTAACGGATCCATCTACTTGATGGCAGCTTTATACTTGACACTTTCATTGCATTAAAAGTTTTAATCCAGCCTGGGAAAATAAAAAACATAAGTGAAATAGCAAAGTTCCCCAGCCTCAACCCCAATCAATGAAGCACTGAGGGGAAACCATTTCTTGGTTAGCACTGCAATGGTGAGTATGAAACATTTTGACAAGATTCTTCTCTTTTATGCAGATAAGAACATACTTCTAAATTCCTCCATTTTAAGGAAAGCTTTTGTTGTTATTTTTTCTTATTATGAATGTAATGACAAACCCTCATTTTAGGAAATTCAGAAAAATGAAACGAAATATAAAGGATTTCAGTTCAATAGAAGTACAATCACACATTTAGCAGCACTCTTTTCTTTCCCAAACTCCAGAGAAATGCAGAAGATGTTGAAGGGGAAAGAAACCTATAAAAAGTATGGGGAGTGAGGGCAGAATCAGAGATTTTGACAAATTCCTGGAAATTTGGAGTGAGTGAGAGTGTACAGGTACCAGAGAAGGCCATCCTTCAACATAGAAAGAAGAACTCAACTCTTTGGATGGTCCAGTTTTGAGTGGGGTGATTTAGAGAGCAGGACAAAAATATAGCATTCAGAAAAGGGTGTTTAATGGTTATGTAGACAACAGTGAGGTCTCTTGGCTCCTCCATTTTTCTCAAATGGGTATTTGGTCCAAGGATGATTTGTCTTAGGCCATAAATAGAAAGCAGTTTTCTGTAGAAATTGCACAATCTACTGGAGAAGGGTTAGGACTCCAATATGGAGGTTAACATCACACAGGTTCCCCATCAATAACATGGAGATGATGGCCTCATAAGGCTGTTTTGACAACTAAAAGACATAACAGAAGCATTAAGGTACCTAGCATTAAAAAGGGCTCGATAATTTCTTATAATGACTTTACAAAGACGAGTCTCTTCCTTATACATGTGTAAACTGAGATTAGTGCCTTGCCCCAGGGAGCCAGCACTTGTGCAGGGATTTAAAAAATGGAAACTCTTAGCTGTCTTAGTGGTGCACACCTGTAATTCCAGGTACTTGGGAGGCTGAGGCAAGAAGATCACAAATTCAAGGCCAGACCCAGCAACTTAGTAAGACCCTATCTCAAAATAAAGATAAAAAAGGGCAGGGAGTGTAGTAGTTCATTGGTAGAGTACTTGGTTAGCATGTGCAAGGCCCTGGGTGTGGTCCCCATCATTAGCACATACATATACAAACTGGGAACTCTCAACCATGCACACGTGGTACCCATAGGCACCCAGTGTAAACAGGGACAGGCTCCAGTTTATTTTCTGTAGCATTTCAACTTGTTACAAAAAACATCTGTCGTTTTGATTAAAAACTCCAAAAGTTATTTTCAGAATTTAGAATAATATAGCAGAAAAAAAAGAAAATGCAGAAAAGCATTTTAAAATCATAACCTCTGGGGATGAGATTTATTTGAGCTTTACTAGCACCAAGGAAATGCAGGAAAGAAAGTTTCAGCCTGGCTGTCTCCTCATAACTGCCCCCTGAGCAGGTGGCCACAGCAAGGACATGCTGGAGGGTACCCTCTGTCGCTGGAGGGGTTTACACTGGTATTGGGGGACAGTTGTCGCTTTCCCCCAAACCAATTCTTCTGACACGAAGGACATTTCTTTTTCCTATAGGATCCTCCCTCCTCTCTCTCCAACTTGGTCTTTGTGGTGGAAGGGTCTTCTCACCCGCTCAGAGTCAGGGTTTGTCCTTTTGCTGCACTGGCTCTATGCAGAAGGGAAGATTAGAGATGCTGGGATCATCTTTCCCATCACTTTGAAATAGTCATGGTTTTCTGAATAAAAGTTAGGACCTGAATTTGAGATGCCCAACACATGCCCTGGTGAGTATTTCTGAACAAAAGCAGATCTGACACTGGAAAAGGACAGGATGTAGGTATGAGCCAACAAATTCTGAACCACCCCCTAACCCCCACCTTTTTTTTTTTCACCTGAACATTTTGAGTTGGGTTTCTAGTATTTGCAACCAAGAGTCCTAATACTGAGTTCTAAGTTCCAGATACACCTAAAAGATTACGATTGGATCATCAGACAAGTTCTCCATTCACTGTTTACAAACACTCCGGGCCATTCAGAAGCGTTTCGGCGAACTCTAAAATAGAATGGCCCAGCTTGCTCAAGACTCAAAGAGGAACCAGGGTACCACCCGGGGACTTCAGGAAAGTAAAGGACAACATGGAGCCCTCTGTCTTAGACTTGTTCTTGAAGGGCCAAACTGCTGCTTCTCAGCCTTAATAAGCAACAGGTGAGGTGGCTTAGGAAGGGTGGGAGGTAAAAGAATTTCAGTGACAACTTTCCAACTGGAACTGCCTGCTTATTTTTTCAAAGATTCCAAGTGACCCCTGAGGATGATTCTGCAAACTTTGTGTAGTCTCACAAACTGAAGCATGATCATTTCTTTAAAGACTAAACATTTAAAAATTCCTGAAAATATTTTAAACATTAAAAAAAAATGTGTGCAGAGGTGAACACCTGTAATCCCAATGACTCCAGAGTCTTGAGGTAGGAAGATTACAAGTTTGAGGCCAGCCTTGGCAATTTAGTAAAAACTTGACTCTAAATAAATAAATAGATAGATAGATAGATAGATAGATAGATAGATAGGGCTGGGGTTGTAGCTCAGTGGTAGAGTGCCCCTCGGTTAAAAAAAGGAAAAATCAACAGCGAAAATTTATCAATCACTACATAGGTGGAATTGATTACTTTTAGTCTTTGGGCCTGAAGTGTCCTCATCTGCAAAATGGGATATTAACTTATAGGGGTCGAGAAATAAACACTAAGTCAAGAGTGTCCAGAGGGAGACCAGAGCTCTAGTGCCTACTAGAGCCATTGAATCTGAGTGTGAGTGAGAACATCTTTTTAGCATGGTCTTTGGACACCTGTCCTGTGCCAAATACCTCAAATGGGTGGTTGGTTCTCAGTATGGGGTACATGTCCCCACAGGAGACATAGCATAATCTTTTGGCTGGAGAATTTTTTCTTGAACTTACATGTTTTTGGAAATTCTGATAAAACCTCCTTATGGACTCCCTCTGCCTCTACCTTACTCCATTCCTATGGAGATTAAGTATAATGAAAGATATTTCTGATGAGGCAGAAAACAAGACAGAAAAAATGCAAATGATGAGAATACACATCTGACACAGATGTGTGACCAGACCTGTCATCTGAGAGCTCAAATAATTGTCAGGGCAATAAGAAAGTGCCCTGGAAGTCAGAGGCTGGGGGACACTCATCTTACTATTGAAAGTTTCCCTGAAGAATGGAGCAAGAGTGACAGTTCCAGGACAGGCTGGTGAGCCCTGGGAAAGCACAGCATTGTGGATAAAGGTGAGCTTCTGGCCCAGAGAGAATGGAGTTCAAATTCTGGCTCTCTTGCTTTCCCAAAGTGTCATGTCAGGCAAGTTAATCCAGCCCTGAGTGCCTTGTTCCCCAGCAAAATGGAAATAACAACTGTGACTCCTCTACCAGTCGTGGAGGGTTAGTGACAGAATGTGAAGCATGTAGCAGACTTTCTTCATAAAACCACCATTCAATGTGAAATATGTGTTATCAGTAATATCATTCACTAATGGCACAAGTTCTGATTCCAGCTCTGCCACCTGTTAGCTGTGATTTGGGGAAAGTCTCTTAACCTCTGTGCTCTGTTTCCTCACCTGCAAAACAAGGGATGATAAAGGCACGATGGGGTTTGGTGAGCCGGAGTCCATGGAAAGTGCTCAGTCCTGAAAGTAACTACTAGGTCCACCAACCTCAAGAGTGCTTTCAAGGAGGAAGTTCATGCTGATGGGGGGAGGGTCAGGTGTCCTACTGTGAGTGTGGCTAAGGAAGTGGGGAGACCAGAAAGCTGGAGTTTGGGTGGGCAGGTGAGGCTCCCTTTTCCTGCTGTGGACAAACAGTAGGAGTAGGTATGCGTACCTACTTATCTCCCTTTCACAGATCCAGCAGCCTTCTGGTCCCCAAGTAGTTCATTAACTTTCATTATGGGGATTTGTACTCTGTGAAGTTTGCACAGGTGTACCTGTCCTAATGGTCCAGAAATGCCATCCTGGGACTCTCCCCAGAGAAGCACTTGCATGTGTCCCTAAGACTGTTCACTAAGGCATTGCCTGTGTAGAAAAAGATGCCAACAACCATGGTTCATTCATTCTCTGTTCATCTACTTACTTGCTCATTCGTCAAATATATACTGGGCACCCACCATAAGCCAGGTGCTGATGTGAACACGGTACAGTGGATGAGGCTCCCAGTCTCAGGGTTTACTCACTAGTGCAAGGGGTAGGAGGTTAAGTGGAAAAGAAAAAAAGATTCATTCTACATCAGGGGGAGTAATTGCCATAAGAAGAATGCAGTGGGATCGGAGAAGAGACCGGGTGGGGAAGGAGTGCTATTCCATGCAGGGTGGTCAGGGAAGTGCTCTCTGGTAAGGCGTTTTTTGAAAAGAGATAAGATGGGGTGAGTCAAGTGGAATTGGGGGCAAGCG